TTGAATTTCAGCTTATTTTAGGTTAAAAATCTTCCTCACCGCTCACCAGAGACTTTTTTTTGGAGATCTACTACAGGAACAAGATAATTCAAAATTTTTCAAAACCAATCGCCGATTTTTTAAATACATTAAATTGTATAGATAAAAAAGCATAAATATCTACGATTAAACTAATCGAAACGTACTAACTGAAAGTGAATGTAGGGGACAAGGTACCAAAACCCCTTTTGACCCAGAGAATTCTGGAGAAAAAATTAAAGATAATAATATAGACATTCATCACAAATTTGTTCCGAGTGTCAGTGGGCTTGGGTAGAAGGAATGGCAACCAATTAGAAATATTGCGAGGACTAAATGACAAACGATGTAAAACGATTGCATTGAAATTTCCGTTTAAAAAGTTTTTCATAAATTGCGTATTTGGAGTATTTTTAAAAATTTTAGTATTTTTGAACCGGATAGCGCTCTTGAAAATACTGCAAATGCATGAAAAATCTTGTTTTGATTATGATTTCTAATTGGAATGGCATTTTTAGCATAACTAGTCAACAAACAGTCTTCGATTAATTTTTGGAGTTACTGTGCAAAGGTATACTAATTGTTAATAGTGTACAGCTCACTTTCAGTCGCAATGTGCGCGCATGTTAAAATTAGGTTGAAATTGGTGGTAATATCTCGTATTTACATTAGGGCTATTTCTGTTTAGAAAGATGTTAGCATTGACAGCGCACGTCTATGGCCCAATTATTGTGAGCGCAGATTGGAGCTGGCTGTATAAAAATATACATACATTCGTACACATATGTAAATTTTATTGTTATTATTGCTGTTGCTAGGTATTTTTCATTCAGACAGTGACTGAAAAATTTATATCTACGAATGCATGCACATACATACTTATGTATGGTATATATTTTAACACGTGCAAGCGATAAATTTTCTATGAAAAGCAGAAAAATAGACAAAGAGTTGGACACAAGAGGCGGTAAAAGCTACCACTTTGTTTTCATGTCAGTTTTATTTGTGTATTTTAGCGAAAAGAAAAAGTAGCGGCAAATCTATTTGTGCTCTGTCGGTTTTTATTGTTTGATGGAAGTATCACAAGCAGAAAAAGCAAAATGTATTGTACAAATTCTAGTTAATTGAGTATCCACTGTTAGCACTTTCGGTTAGCGTGCAAGAAAGTGTGTAAAATACAATAATTTTCTGCGTATTCAAATTCAGATTACGGCAGTTTATACAGATTAGAGGCTGTTCCTCTTAGGTGGAGTTCATATCTGCATGGGTACATATGTATGTGTATAAGTTCATATAGAAATTATGAAAAAATATGCTAATTAGTTGTATATTTTGCAAACTAGTTAACACCTTTCTCTTCAGGTAATTTAATTCAGTAGAAAATATTATAGAATGTTCATATGTAGTAGGGATTTCGGTAGGTAAATAGGTACATATTTTGATAGAAACTTCATCACTTGCTATCAAAAGATCACCTTCGAAGCTTTCCTCTGCTGACGAATATGAATATAATAATATTTCATAATTTTTTAATGTAAATTTTTATACCATAAACATTTGTAACAATCTGTAGAAGACGGCGGCGACCCTATAAAGTATATACATATATACAAGGTGCGTTCCAAAGTAAACAGTAAAAAAGTAACAAAGTAAACTCTAGTGGCGCCATCTACTCCCAGTAAAGATTTCATGACATTTCATCTATTGGATAAGTGAAGTTATTGCGTTTTAAGTGTCAGTATGTTTTGTCATCCGTGCGAAAATGAGCTTCGAACAAATAGCCAACATTATATTTTGTTTTAAAATTGGTAAAACTTTTACCGAAACGTTTCAATTGATGAAACAAGTTTATGGCGATGATTGCCTATCCCGTAGCAGAGTGCACGAGTGGTTTTAACGTTTTCAAAGTGGTCGTGAGGACATAAATGAGAAATGAGCCGAAACCCAAAACATCGCGCCTGAAGAAGTCAAAAGTGAAGACAATGCTGTTTTGTTTTTATGATTCCAAGAGTATTGTCCACAAAGAATTTGTTCCACCCAGCCAAAACGTTAATGCGGTATTCTACCTTGGAGTTTTGAAGCCTTTGGTGCGCCGTATTCGAAGTGTTCGGCCCGAATATTGCGAAGATGGAAGTTGGCGTTTGTTGCACGATAATGCGCCGTCTCATCGATCGACGCTTGTGACCGATTATTTGACCAAAAATCACATTTTAACAATCAACCACTCCCCGTATTCACCTGTATTAAAGCAGAAGGAGACTATTTTGAATAAAATTAATTGATTTTGAAGATAAAACCATTTGTTGTCTTTTTTTTTTTTAAATCCTGTTTACTTTGGAACGCACCTTGTATGTATGTATGTGCGTATATAAATGATTTGGGTGACGAGCTGAGTCGATTTAGCTATGTATATACGCGAAATTTTGAAATCTTACTCACATCTTTTTCTTCCTAAAAATTTGCTCATTTGTCGGAACCGCCGATATCGGACCACTACAGCATATAGCTGCCATACTAACTAAACGATCAAACTCAAGTCCTTGTACAGAAAACTTGTTTATTTGACAAAATATCTTCACGAAATTCCGCTTAGACTATTGTCCAAGGCAACGATACAATCTCCGAACAAATTATAGCATATAACAGCCAAAGCTCAATTTCTGAATGCAATCTTCACTGCTTTTGTCCCAAGTCTAAGAAGTTATTCCCTAAAAGAATTTTAGTGTAGTTGATGTTCATCCTCATAATTTAGATACTCATAGTATACATACATACAGTTGAACATACGTAACTATTGACCCTCCCAGAAGAATGTGAAGAGCAGTTCAATGATATGTGTACATTCTACATATGTATATTCCTATTTAGAATATAACAATTTTACCAAAAAAGTGAAATTCCTAATTATCCCAAAAATGGAACCAAATACTATTTTTTTTTCTGTTTGAAACATAATCACTGAACCGGCAATGTTATATGTGTACATAAGTTTTATACACTGTTGACCACCGCGGTCGATATTTCTGCTGAACAATGAGTCATGCCTTGAACTACAACGTGAAGAGGTAATGCAAAAAGTTTGCCATTTTAGGAAAAATCAATGTAGAAAGACAAACAAAAAACTCGTGATATTTTAAACAATATAGGTAAATGACTGACGCATTGAACCGCTTCTAACAACTGCTAGGGAGGAATAAAAAACGAAAGCAATGCCTTCATACCTATAAAAAAGTAAAAATTTGCAAAAAAGTTGCAAAAAGACGGGAGAGGCACACAATATGTAGAAATGTAATGTATGTTCACTGTCATCAAAGGAAACATCCCTTACGGTTACAACGTGTTGATAATTCCTATGTTTCCACATAGGTATATATTTATACAGATGTATTTGTACTATTGTTGTCGGGCGTTGCACAATCACCAATATCTTTTTATTGTTGCAAAAATTGTAACAAAAAGCTGTCAAAAACGGCAAATAAATCTATAGACTGACATAAATTAACAGAAGCTAGAGACATGCTTTATGCGGTATAAGTAATATAAAATTTTTTATTAAATAAAGTTTTAGTATGTACATATATAAATAGGATTTCCTTACAAAACTTTAATTATATATATCTATTGTACAAATGCAAAATTACTTTTTTCCCAGCTAAAATAAAACTAAATTACTTATGAATATTTCCACTGAATGGTATTAATTAGAAATATACCACAAAGGAATGTATGTACATCAATATTTTTACAGTATAGTGTGAGAAATGTGCTTTGTTTGTGCAAGAGAAAGCCAATCAGGAAAAGGAAATGCCAACATACATACACATATACAAAATGATGAACTACGGAAGATGGCGTAGGTAATGAAAAAGTTGACTTACCGCAGGTCAAGTTGGAAAACACAAATTTTCAAGTTGAGTTTAGTCCAATTGGAAATGCAACAAATTTAAATATTTTTACTTGCACACTTTCAACAAACAATGCTTTTACTACCAATAATTGTGCGTTTTGGGTATTTTTGAGAATCACTAGACGAATTTACTACAAATTAAAACACTTGCCGTTTATAATATGTACAAACTTTTGCGCGTATGCAATATGTACGTCGGCACGTATGTATGTATGTGCGTATGTATCAAATATGTCTGCCGGTTTGCAGGCGATTAGCGGATTTTATGTGCATCAGCAGCAATATACACTTAAACACTTTGTGGGATATTACGAACAAACGGCACTTCGAATACGTGCAGTATATACGAATTTAACCTTTATTATGTACACATATGAAAGTATGTATCTACATACAAATACCAATAATTGGATGCACAATTCCAGCTACACAGTCTGGATAGAATATAATCTGCTGGACGACAGGTTTTCTGCGACACAATCATGCACTTTGTACACTTTATTACCTATTGAGTATTTTTATGTAATCCTTCAACTTTTTCACCAACTTTTCAGTCAGATATTTTAATATTGTTTAATTCACTTATTTTATTTCTGTAAAATCTTTTCTACACCAAACACACACACACCGTATAATGAACACCTGAAAGCACTGCAAAATTTGATACAGAAATGAAAATGCACTCAACGGACCAGTTAAACTTTCGCTCGACTCGCTTCAACTTCGCTCTGAAAGCAACTAAATCAATTGACGTATCCAGTTTGCTACCACTTTTTAGACTTTTATTTGCTTACACGTTTTTTGCTGAACTTTTATCACAGTTTATCACAGTTGTTTTGTTTTGTTTTTGTGAAAGTGCAACGCATTGTTGTTGGTTGGAGTAATGGAGCACAGACGTTCTCTCATTAGAGCTGCTGATACGGAAATTCGCCGCCGAAATGTCAAAAGTCGAAGAGAAATGTCAAAATGATTGTGAAAAATTGTGCGAATGAAATAGTTAGATTTGTTTATGCAATTGCAGAGAACGTATATTTTGACAATCGGCACACCATGAACGTTCTCTATAATATACGTTCTCTGGCAATTGTTACAAACAGCTGAGGATCACCTGTCTTGCCACATTGAAAAATGTTTGAAGCTCGTATTGTTTGTATGATATTGTCATAAAGCAAAGCGCAAAAACTGAAAAGAAAAAAATATTTTATAACCATCTGTTAATTAATAATATTCTTTAAATTCTTTAGTAATATCAAATTTTTTCATCATAAAACTTGTACATATATGTGATTAGTTAATAATAGAATGTTGGCAATCATTGTTTGCAACACAAAACAAATTTGTACAAATTTTTAGATTGTACAAAAATTATTCAAATTGTTTGTCGAAAAATATCGGCCAAGTTTTGTTTGCTCCAACAAATTTTTTATTATGGACAATTCAAAAACAGCACAACAAGAATTCTGGATTGAATTCATAAAGTTGTACCGATCGCGACCAGTGCTTTGGAAATATGGCAGTGAAGTGTATAAAGACCGGATAGGAAAGAAGCATGCTTATAGGGATTTGGTGGAGAAAATGCGCGAGATTGAACCAAATCCTGATGTTGATATGGTAAAGAAGAAAATCAACAGTTTGCGCGCATGCTATAGGCGCCTATGCTTTAATGCCCAGGAACAAATTAAACTTGGTGAACAGCCGGAAATTAAATGGGTGTATTTCAAACATTTCAAGTTTTTACGCGAAATCTATGATCCGTTAACAGAAGATCAGGACTCAGAACAAAACAATGACGAGGAGAACGAAGATGAAGTTGTGGAAGTATGGAGTTAATTATGTGCCTGATAACAAACATGTACATATAATTCTACTTTTTTCAGTATATTCCGCATAAAAGCAGCACAAGTCGCAGATATCATAGGAATTCTACCAGTTCCTCAAGATCGCTAAACAATTCACTGGATGAAACGTTTAATCAATCAAAACATATCAATAATACATGTTTTAATATCACCCTAAATACTAAGGAAAACCAAACGTTTTGGATAGAATTTATTAAACTATATAGATCGAAACCCGAACTATGGAAAGTTAATAGTGATGTGTATAAAAATCGTAAAGCAAAGAAGCAGGCTTACAAAGAACTTGTTGCAAAACTGCGTGAAGTGCATCCTAATCCTACAGCTGATATGGTGAGAGCAAAAATCAATATTCTGCGGACGTCTTATAGAAAGGAATTGCACAAAATGAAACGAGCCATAAGACTGGGCAGAAAGCCTGTGAATAATTGGTTATATTTTGATCATTTTTCCTTTCTACATGAGTCTAAAGATCCCTTAGAGGAGGATAATACTACGAACGATGCTGATGAAGATAATGATGATTATGGCCCGCTTTATAACACAGCTGATCATATAGAAAACACTGATTTCGCTGCTATCGATGAAGAAATAGATGCAGTTGTGGGTGTAAGTTAGTTAGCTTGCAAAATAATAAATATGTGTATTAAAATAATACATTTCTCCTATAGTTTAATCCATCTAAGAACTCCACAAATACAGAAAATAATTCGCAACCATCCAGCCCGGAAATAACGTTGCATGAAAAAATAACTGTATCGCATCAGATAAATCACCAAAGTAACGGGCCTGACGACGTAAGTCTAAATGCAACAAAAAAACAAAAATTCTGGATAGAATTCATTAAGCTATACAGATCAAAGCCCGAACTATGGAAATGTGACAGCGATCTTTATAATGATGCTAGAGCTAAGCGGTCTGCTTATTTAGAGATGGTAAAGAAAATGCGTGAGATTTATCCAAATGCTAATGTTGGTATGGTTAAAAGAAAAATCAACACTCTCCGCTCTATCTATAGAAAATTATTATATAAAACGCGGAAAGGAGAACGTTTAGTTGGGAAACCGGCGTACCAATTGATTTACTTTAATTATCTTTCGTTCTTAAATGAACAAAATGATCCACTAGACGAGGATGAGGATGATTGGAATGATTGTGAAATTAACGAATATAGTTCAATGCACGATAATACGTCTGATAATAATTTACAAGATGATGATTTTGATGTTGACGAGCATGATCTAGTTGTGCAGGTAAGTTTGTCTTGCTTTGCTTAATTATGGTTATTGTAAGTTTGTTTGTTTTATAAAACAATTTAGTTTCTGACAACTAAAGAGAGTACAAAACGGCAGTATTCGCTTTCACCTTCACCGAACCACAACGAAAGAGCGCATAATGAAGCGGCAGGCATGCCATTTAAGAAATTTAAACAATATAATGATGAAGCTGATATTTTAGGCATAAGTTGGGCATATCAATACCGTAGTTTAAGTCAAACGCAAAAAATTTTTGCCAAAAAGGCAATTGATGATATCTTGTTTGAAGCGCGCCTAGACACATTACAACGCAATTCGGTTAAGATCAATGAGCGCGGTTGTGACTGCTGTAAACACACGTAATAAGTATGTTACAGTTCCGTTTGTTTTTTGTGTAGGAGTTCAAATATTTTCTTTTTGTTTTTAAGTTTTCTACATTGCAATAATACTCTTAATCAATAATGAATTTACATTTACTTAATTCTTAAAGATGAAGAAAATAAGTTGTTATTTTTCGCGTTTTTGTTATGAAATTGAACGAATTATTAATCGCAAACATAAGAAAAGTTAAGCCAGGCGTAGTTTAATTTATAATTTGCGATATTTGTAAAGTATAATAATGGAAGTTCGCTCGAGTTTATTTCTTTTATATAAAGTCTTTTTGCAATTAAAGTTTTTTATTTTTATTTATCAATGAATAACAAAAGTAAGACAGTTACAAATTTCACTTAATTCGCCGCATTTTTCATGTGCTGTACATTCATTTTAAGCTAGTATAAAAGTGTGAACATTTCAACTTATTGCATTTATCAATTTGTATTTTTTGTTTGCACTAGTAACGGTGATTTGAAGCTGAATTATATATGTATATATTTTTTTTTACTTATTTTGAAAAGCGGTTTCGACTCATAATTTTTAGTTTGTAATTAATTGTTGTAGAGTTAAGCATTAAAATAATATGAATTAGAATAAAGGCACAATAACATATAAAAACAGTGATTTGAAAAAGAAGAAATTATAAAGCTGTACTTATATGACAAAATGTATAGCTAATAAGTGCGCCGTAACGATTGTAAATTACACATACATATGCACGTTATAAAAAATTATTTTCGTGACATTGCGGTTTAAATCGTATATAATTGCCTAACACAAAATATAAACAACTTGTACACTGTTTCGTCCTGCTTACTATGGTTGTTCGTTAAATCATCTTGCATACGTATAAATTTATATATAAAAAAAAACCGCATTAACAGATCAAATTAATTCAAATGATTCTCATTAACGCGTGCAACAAGCTCATCCTCATCCTCGTCCACAACATCATCGTCTGGTTCAATTTGTTCGTCTAATGTTTCTAGTTTTTGGCTTTTCAAGCGCAATTCAAAAACTTCGCTGATAGCTTTGCGGAAGCATAAAAAGTTATAGTCGATAACACCTTGCCGATTGAAATTCTCCTCCCGTAATATGCATACAAGCGCAAGAAATTTGTTTACTTCTCGTAAATACAAAATCGTATTGTTGTTCAGCTTAATGAGACTAGAGCTTTCATGGTCGAAGGCCATTTCCTCCGAGCTGCAAAATAAATGTCGGGAATATAATACAATAATTCAACACAATGCATTTTTGTTCTTACCTGTAAATGCTCGAGAGATCGATGACCACATCGATCATGTCACAACAAAGTTCATAGCTTTGCATATCTACAGGCGAACAATCGGTGGCGATGTAGATCTTTGAAACAACATCAAAAAGGAACGCTTTCTCGATACCCGAATGCTTCAGTAAAGTAAATTAGCACAATTAAATTTAGTAAGTTAATAAAAATATAGTCTAATTACCGATATAAAAATATTAAGCAGATTCTCCAATGTTGGCAATTGCGGTATTAATTTTTGCACTACTTTGGAGAAAGCTTCGAATATCGAATGATCATATATGGAAGTTAAATGAAAACTCAAATGTATCTGGTTAAGACCGGCATCGCTAAGATCGTCAGAGGCGCGTTGATGTATATCCCGTTGTGATTCCATTTTTGAGTCGTCACTAATACCGTCAACCTATCGCACAAACACAAAAGCAAATATTATAATTAAAAGTTCTAGGGCTACAATACAACAATAAACTTTGGTATGTAAATAATACGCAATTGCAAAACCATATAATAAATTATAGAAGGGTTAATTTTTAAATCCAATAAACATTTGGCACATGCTTGTACTTTTCCATGTTTTTACATTATATACTCTGAACAACTGGTACTTTCTCACAAATAAAACTGATAACACAAAGACAACACCCACTACGCACACATTCAACTCTTACACATATTTTACATACCTTGTGTATGAAGACTTCGAACTTTATGCGTGGGTTTACTTTATATGCTTTTATAACGGTATTTTTGAATTTTGTCAATGCTTCATTGTAATCATCCTTTGCATCGATTACGAATACTAAAGCACCGCAACCGCCGAATATCATATCTGAATCGAATGTGGGATCTATAAAGTCGATTTGTCCGGGAAAGTCCCAAATCTGAAACTGCACGAAGCTGGAATTGTTAATGTCATCCTTAACAATTTTGCTTGTTGACTCTAGGAACAGTGTTTCATTCGGTGACATTTTGTGGAAGACGACTTTTTGTATGGAACTTTTTCCCGAACGTCGTAAACCCATAAGTAGTATGCGTGGTTTAGATTCGCCACCGCCCATACCAGGCTCATCCAAGCCATCCTGATCGAATGAACCGTAACCAAAGTCTTTTGGAAACGTGTCCACATGATATTCGTCGTCCTCGTAGCTCTTTGTTAGCGAAAACAAAAAACAATAATATTCGCAGTTATTTGGCTTCAACTATTATAAAGCTTATATTTCACTTACCATGACTTCGTTGCGCTACTGATTGCGTTTTCCAACAAAACGCTCTACCTCTGTAAGTGCATTCAATAGCTGATTAATTAGATATACTTATCGCTTGCACTTTAATGTGAATTGATATTACGTTTGTTTATTTTCATACGCAATTTGTATTTGGATGCTTTTTTGTGCAATTTTTAGATGCTTAAACAAAACCACTGCATTTAAATCACCAAAACAGCTGACACTTCGAAGTGTCAAAAATGACGTCTTGTATTGTTTTTAAATCCAATTTACTTCAAATCTAATCAGAAAGAACTTTGCAATTGGAACCCCCGGCTGACAGTTGTTTAGTACGTGAACAGCTGTTTCCACCTTGACATATTTTATAACATGTGTTAGTGAGGAGTGTTTCGTTAATTATTTTGTTTAAATTTATTGGTAACTTTGAAATAAAACTTTTATTATTGCATTTAAGAAAGAATGGCTTCACGTGGTGCAATATTATTAGGGCAATGCATGCCATGCATTAAGAAAAATGCGTCGAAGATACGCATACGACACATGGAGTTGGATAAGAATCTTAACATGGTAAGCAACATGATGTTTTATGCAGAAGAAAAATCTAAATCATTTTATTTCTTTTGTAGTATTTCAAAAAGGATGAATACTTCTTTGCTCATGATCCTGAGAAAGTTTGTAAAACGGGCGACATTGTGTTGATACGAGAATTGCCACAACGTTTGACACGCTTAATTTCCCATGCTGTGGAGAAAATTGTTTATCCATTAGGTGACATAACAGACCCAATAACCGGCAAAAAAGTTGTGGTGGGCAAATACCGCGATGAAATTGAAGAAGCAAACCGTTTGTATGGCAAATCCGAAAAAGCGTTCGACTATGAGAAAGCACCGAAGCGTGGACGTCTGGAGGGTACCAGAGATTATACACATGGCGAAACGTATATTAAATACCATGAAGATGGCAAGGATAATCCATTTGCTGTGTAGTATAAAGTTTTGTTGTTAGTTTAAATTTAATACTTAATCTCTATACAAAAAGGTCAATAAAGCTGTTTCTATTGAAAAATAATCGTGTTTTGTTTGCAGTTTGAAAATTCGCTAATGTTGTAAAAAATTTATTTGGATGTAAATGTTAAAGTTAAAGTTTTTGCGCTCAATAACGAAAATAAATTTGAAATTGTTGCTTCGAAAACCCAAAGTTTCATATAAAGATCTACGAGATTAATTTTTAAAATAACTGTTAATAAAGATAATTGCAACTACGAAAAAATATATTTTATGCTCTAAGTTAAGCATTAAAAAACAAAGATTGTGTATTTAATTTAAAATAAAATAAACCTTAAAATAATTTTAAAAAGACAAAAACGGTCCAAAATAAAGAGAAAAATAGAATGCGAGTGCTTTTTTTTTAATATTGAATCCTTTATAATACTATAATACAATCTAATAGAAAATAGGAAATCATAATTTTATTGTTTAAAAAAAAATTGTTTTATTTTTATTGTTGTTGTTGACAGTCCTTATAGGCCTGACTGTCGTAGGAACGAATAGTTGTTATGTGTATGCATCTTGCCATATTTACCATACATACATTTGTACATGGGTCTGCGAGATTTTATAATTTTGAGTATAATAGCGATCTATATATAGTATATCTTACCTGGAATTCCAAATATCATATAAAATATCGTAATTCTATATTTTAAGTTTTTATTTAAATATTTCTTTTTTAATTAATTTAGCAGTGGATAAAATATTGATTCAGCAGCTTTCTTCTCAAGACGCTGTGTGTTTTTTGTATTTATATTGTTACATAAGCCTTTTATTTATATATACATTACAATTCGATTTATTATCATTTTTCTAACATTTTATATATAATATATATATACGAGTATGTAAAGTAATTCTAAACTAAGCATGTATTTAATATTATATTTTTTTTTAATCTACCCCAAACACTTGGCCAATAATTAAATTTTAATTATATTTGTTCATTTTTAAATCCAATATACTTGTACTTGTATATGTACTTATATTTGGGCGTATGTATGTAAAATGTACGAGTAGGTTGTTTTTGTTGGTAGTTGGCTTTTCAATTTGCTCAAATTGTTGTTGTTGTGCATATGTATTTTCGTTTGCTATTTGTTCAGTAATTCCTTTCTTTTATCGCTAATCACAATCTCTTACGATGCTAAAGTTGTACTGCAGTAAAGTGTTTGCTTCGTGTGCTGTCTCCTGGCAAATATTTTGCTGAAACAAATAATAGAAAATAATAATAAAAATAAGAAAAAGCGTTAAATTAATACTTTAATAGCTTCAAATAAAATTTTTGTGGTCATTATTGGAAAAATATAAATTTTGAGACAAAAACCGTCAAATTCGGTAATTTTTATATAATTGTAAAGAGTTTAAACCAAAAAAAAATGTTCTCTTTTTTTTCGCTCTTCCCTAACATATATACCGAAGTTTCCTTTTGGGTGTTACAAACTAACTTCATAGCAAACTCGTTAATACAATTTTATAAAGTTACCTTTTTCGAATCCACCGTCGTTGCGCGTAACGCCAAACTTCGTATGAAGTAACCTCGACTCGGTATATTAAAGTATATAACCGACACATTTGGCTGACGTTGTACGATGTTGGCGCTAAGTTGATGCGCAGATGATTGTAATAGATGTGCGCCCTGATGTTTAGTCAGCTCGCGATTACTACAAATGGTCCATAATAGTGGCACGGAGGAGCTGGAAAGCAAAATGATATAAAATTAATTATTTTCAATTTCATTTCCTCCTTCCTTAAGCTCACCTCAATTGCAGTTGTATGCTTGATTCCTTGAAAAATCTCGATAACGGTATAATATAGGTCATATTCAGCGATTTGCCACTATGCGGACAGTGATGCTCCATACCAAATGTCTCATTGTTTGTCTCAGCTATTAAACAGCTATCGATTTGCCAACAATCTATTTGTGCTGCCGCTGCTGCTGCTGCTGCTGCTGCTGCGGCTGCTCTTTGCAGCTCAGAGGATGTTGCACTACCTGTTGGTGCGCCCACTGTTTCATCTGCTGTGATCTTTACATCAATATCGAGACGTTCATCGGAACCGGATATGTCTTTTGAGGAGTCCGAAAGATCGGAACGTTGTTCGCTTGAGACTTCTACAACTTGTGTTTTTTTGTCCGTTCCAATAAAAGTGGCGTTGGTAGAGAGTATGGGTGTGGCCAGTGATCGTGGTTGTGTGTCTGGATCTGTGTCGATATCGGCGCTGTCTGCATTCGATTCGGATAATGGCAAATTTTCGTTGCTTAGCTGTTTCGCTGGAACCGCTGGATTTTCGTTCACACGTGTGATGCCTGCTAGGGTGTCTTGAATTACCGGCAATTGATTGGTTTCCTCGAAGCAAAATGACTGAAGTGATAGAGAAAAAATAAAAATCTTAATCTCAAAACACTAATTTAGTTGGGAATAGTTGAATATGAAGATAATATGGGGGAAACCTATCAAGTGTACCACAGGTTCAGTATTCAAATTGTCGTCGGTAGGACAAAGCCTCTATATACATATATTCGTCGAATGAATCATGAAAATCAAATTGTCTCACAAGCTTTAAAAAGGTGTGTCACGAACTATATGAGCAGTCGGGTCTACGTAACCGGCATGGACACGCTTTTCTATCTGAACAAAACTTATTTGGGGAATGCGTTTCGATTCCACCATTTATGCGAGGATTTTCGAGGTAGAACTGAATTCCGACTTTTTTTCAGATGTCTGTATTTGATGTCTTTGTACGACTTCAATTTCGACCTTTCCCGTTTCTTAACTGTGCGGTGTTATAAACTATTCAAAAATAATGTTTGATATTGGTCGGGGTAGAGTTACAATTCCAGTTCTGGGTGAAAATAGAATTATAAAATAGAATGGGTATTATTCAGTGGTGAGCTTTTGAATGGACCATTGAAAATATTAGTATATTTATATTTATTAAAAAAGCTAATGTATAACGAAACCACCCACCTGACAGTTGGACACCTCGTCATTGGTTGGCTTTTGTATGCATTGCGGTGGCGCACCGAACATTTCCACTTGCACAAATTTACACTGTATTCGCCCGACACTACGCTGAGAAGTTGACCGGCGCCCCAGCACTGATTCGCGTCCCAAGCCAAAATCGAAGCCAAACAATGCGGTTATCGGATTATCCACCGACTCACTATTGTTGTTCAAGCTCTGTAAGTCCAATAAATCTGTGCTATCCAATTTGTTCTCCAGTACTGCCTGACTCTTGTTTGCATAAGCGGGCACTACGTCTAGCGAGTAATTACCCGGTATGCCTTCAATTGTCACCTTGTTGGTTGTAAGTGGCAAAAGTGCCGATGGCGGCGAAACCGCTTTGTAGACATTGCGTGAACGATGACTATACGCTGGGGCAGTGGTATCGGGCACATTGTTGTTAGCATTCAGGTTGGTATTCTTTAGGTTGTCGCTGTGGTTGACATTGTTTTTGCCATTCACATTGCTACTCGATGTGCTCACAATGGCGCCGATGGCGTCAGCAATAGCTTCACCATTTTCCGACAGTGTTTCCTCACGTGAAGTGATCGAACGCGCCGCTGACTCTCTGATCGCCGTCGCCTTTTTTGTTAAATGTTGCGCATCGATATCGATGGAATTGTTATCGAAATCGTGTGTCAACAACACAGTATCGGCCACTTTCTCCGAAGAGGTCTCATTAGCACCCAACGTACCCGGACGTTTTTGGTGCAACGTTAGATTTCCGCTATTTTCGGTTTGTGTGCTACTTGTGGCACGTGTATTTTGAAAGGACGCTATTATTTTGGGCACAACTTGTGCCTGCGGCCACTTAGACTTGTTTTTACTGCTGATAGTCTTGTTGAGTCGCAGTAGCGGTGCCGTTGTCGTCACTTTAAACGTATCCTTACGTGGATGTAGTGGCTGTAGGCTTACAAGTGGTTTTTCCATAACGACCGTAAGTTCATCGTTGCGCCCGTTTTGTGAGTATGGATCACTGCTTTCATCATAGATTATTTCGCCACGTGGACGTGTATAGTTTCGATAACCCGGCGGACGTGATGTGCCACCATGCTGTACGGATTTATTACGATTGAGCATGTTATGCACCTGTACGATATAACCTTCCTGTTCATTTATGAAAACTGAGTCATGACCTAAAAGATGACCATTGCTGTGGAACTGCAGACGGTCTAGTTGCTTGTAGTTGTAACGCTGTTTGTTGTGCTCGACGAAATAGAGAGTCGATACGGCTGCCAGACTTTAGTTTGAGAAGAGAAAATGTTAGATTTGAAAATTTCCCCCCTTATATTTTGGGACTTCCGTTCCGTTTAACTTACCAGGCTGCCATAACGATTACTAATAAGAATATAACAATCTGCAGGGACTTGTTCGAACAGATTTCATAGCCGCCGCGTGGACCACAACTTTTCGTCAAACGGTATTGTTTGCTACGCTGCTCAAATTCGCTCTGTCTGCTTAGACGATTATTTCGCTCCAAATCTTCAATGCGCGTCTCCAGCGAACCTGTGACTTTGCACAGCTCTTTCACCGCACCAATATTTTCCATTAAAATTCGATCCTGCATTTAAAAATATATTATGTATCTTTCAAACTAAATATAATATTAATAGTTTCTACCTTATTGACGAGCAGAAAATTCTCGATGACATTGCCGTTCGGCAGCACGATACTGCCAGCCTCTTGTACCGCATCTGGTATAACTTCGCGCACCTCCTGCGCAATCACGCCCGTGTCCACGATCTCTTCGCTGTCGCTTTCACACGAACGCTTCAGACCTGAGTGCACGGCAAATTCGGGCGCATAACGATAGCGTACAATACGTATTTTTTGTAAGTTACGCAGTTGCACCGATGTGTCCAACTCGCCGATTTCATGCTTAGCGCGACTATCACTGGGCTGCACTATATGACCGGATACCTTCAAGTTGCCATGTACGACCAAACTCTCATCCGGCCGATCTGTATTGATGCCCACACGTCCGGCATGGAAAATCGAGTCTTGCGTGATGCCACGTTGCCAGCAAAGATCGACATCGGACTCAAATTGACCGGGATTAGAGGCGCGTACAATAATGCGTTCACTACCTTGACTGATGATAGGAAAGTTGCCCGATATGGTATGGACATGCAAGCCCACCACTAGTTGAAAGTAACGCTGCTCTGGATTGGGACGTCCCTTTTTGCGCATGTTGTTGTTAGTAGTTTCTGAGAAATGCAAACGACCGACTGTGACTTTGCTGACAATGTGACTCTGCAGATCGATACTAAAAGAGAAGCTTGGTTGAAATTATTATTGTATTTGACAGCGTGTGATATTACTTACGGCACTGGATAGAACGGTTTCTTCGAACGATCAGATTGACTTTGCTCAACACGTATCGTCTGATTTGGCGCTTCCAATTTGACACCGTAAAAGTGCAAATGAAAGGAGTTGATCTTTTCTAGACCGGACGGTGTTTTTACAAACTTCGCATCGCCTTGCAGACGTGCGTGGCAAGTTATTTGAAAGTGATTTTTCTTCTGGCAAACGAACGCATCGTCGGATACCGAGAAATTGAAACCCTTATCTGCGTCTACGCGATAATAAACCACTGCGATCTCCTGTAAACTTTGGTCGCAGAGCTTATGCCAATTTTGTGGCTGAAATGGGCTAAAACGTATGCACGGCGTTAGAGCATTACCGTCACCGCCACTTTCGCCGCTACCACTTCCCGCTGTATTATTGCCATCCAGACTGTTATCGGCATTCGAGTTAATAGTTGACAGCGCGGGCGATAGTGAGGCAGCTGAGTGTGCGGGCGTGCTCGTCATATCGCTCGCAGTCGCATGTGCAGGTAATGTGATGGTAATTGGTGATGAGGCGCTGAGTTTTTGCTGTTGCTCCGCAGCTGCTGTAGCCAATCCATGCGTGGGACTCATGCGCAAACCCGGATCAGGTTTAATGCTAGCAAAGTCCGGACAATCTAGCTGTGTGGAGAGTTTACGTTTGCGGGATAAAGACAAATGCACTGGTGTTGTGGGCAATGACGAACGACTGTGTTGCGGTGGTAACGCTTGGCTCGTGCCAACCAACTGAACGCGTGGCACCTCGTTCAACGGTGAAGTGAGCGCACAGGATGTGGCATGCGTTTGCATTACATCCAGACCATTTACGATAGTCACATTGGGATAATTCACCGAAGGAAAGTTGCCACCTTGTAGATTTTCGTAAGACAGCAAGTGACTGTTGTTTGCATTATGTTGATTGTTGTTGGTATTTGGATTCGAGAACATCAACTGATGTGGTGGCGGTAAATTCATGTGACCATGACTGGCATTGTGTTCGCTATGCGTGTGTGTGCCGATAGAGTTCGCATGCGTGTGCGTGAGTGTAGCAGGATCTATGATAAGACCGGCTTCATGTTTCACTCGCACGCCGCCCATTGTGTCATTTGGTGGCGCTGTTGGCGAATGATTGTGATTATAATGGAGTTGGGTGGCGTTGCTATTGCTATGGTGGTTGTTGTGCTGCAGCTGTTGCTGTTGCTGTTGCTGCTGTTGTTGTTGATGATGGTGATGTGTCGTTGATGCTTGCGTCTGATGCGGTGGTGTAAATTGCGGTTGCAGATGCATGTCCGGCTGCATAGCGGATAGACCATTGTAGACATCGCGCGAGGTGAGTGTGAGACCATGTGCATCTTGCAGCGGACTGTAGGGTGGCTCGGAACCGGAATCCGGCGGACTATCAGGCATATGCGGTGTGCCGTGACTAACCGTTGTCGGTATGGGTGTCGCTATAGGTGTGGATGTTAAACTTACACGCGCCGACACGCTCACTAATGATAAATTTGTATCGAGCGTGTTAATTTGTTGGTAATGAGGATTCTGTTGCTGCTGTTGGTGCTGTTGTTGGTGTTGGTTGACATCGGCCTTAGAGCTGCAACACAATGTGTTTTCGCGCGTATTATTTCCATTTATGCAGCTATTTTGCGCTTCTAGTTGTCCAACAGCGGCTTCAACCTGCATGAACTGTTCCAGATTACCGAAATCGATTGCCTCATTGTCGATGCCTCCAATGAAATCGGATCGATCTGTGGGTGATAAAAAGTAGTGAAGATTATACGTTTAGTGTTTAATGTTATGACAAATATGGAATTATAAGCGTTTCAACAAAAAATGTGAAAACTTCTAGAAACAGCTGTATAGCCGACGGTACGAGCTATTCAGTTACGATTTAACTCACGTCGCAGAGTCGTAAGCGAACACTGAGAAAATATCGTAATAACTTGTTATCATATTATACTAAAAGAATCATAAACAAGTAAGAAAGAGCTAAGTTCCGGTGTAACCGAATATTTCATACTCTTGCAACTTGCCAGAATCAAAGCCAGGGAAATACCTTCATAAGGAAATACTAGCATAAGGTTTGTTAGAACAACGAAAATCATTATATGTAGTATAGGTAGTTTGGGTAATTTGTGAATCAATTTCACATATTTTCAGCTATACATATATGTATATATATATACTATATAAATACTATAGTATATCGAATATTATACAAGTACGTTCAGTAAATTTTGCTAAGGTATCTTACTTATTTGCCGATATATGCGATATAAAGTCAGCCGGTAGTTCGAAAATCTTTCTTAAATTGTAAGAATGTTATGTAAAGAATTTGGTTGAAATCGGTCAAGCCTGTCTCGATTTCACCTATTTTCACACTATCGTAAAAAGGGTTGAAAATAATTGTTGTGCGCAAATTTGGGTGATTTATGTAGCTTTATTGGTTTGGGAGATATATACATTAAAATTATGAGGAGGCGGGGCCGCGCACACTTTTTCAAGATTTTCAAAGCAATTAATTAATTATTGGGCTGGCAACTAACTCACTCATAGATGGCTTCAGTTGAATTTTTAGGTTTGCTGGCGTAGTCCAAATGTAAAACAAATTTTGTAATTTGATAGTTGGCAATTCAGCTATCAATCAGTAAAAAATGTTTTTTGATCGGCTGCGTAGTTTTCATCTGCCGTTCGTTGAAAAATGGAAGATCAAAAGGAACATTTTCGTCATATTTTGTTTTTTTATTTTCGCAAAGGGAAAAACGCATCGCAAGCACACAAAAAGTTATGTGTTGTTTATGGCGACGAAGCCATAAAAGAACGGCAGTGTCAAAATTGGTTTGCCAAATTTCGTTCTGGTGATTTTTCACTTAAAGATGAAAAACGCTCTGGTCGTCCAGTTGAAGTTGATGACGACCTAATCGAAGCAATAAGCGATTCGGATTGTCTCAGTACAACACGTGAGCTTCCAGAGAAGCTTCAGGTATCACATACATGCATTGAAAATCACTTAAAACTACTTGGCTATGTTCAAAAACTCGATACATGGGTTTCTCACGTATCGCATTTAACGCAACGCATTAACAGCTGCGATTTGCTAAAGAAACGTAATGAAAATTATCCATTTTTAAAACGAATGATAACTGGCGATGAAAAATGGGTTGTTTACAACAATAACGAGCGAAAAAGATCGTGGAGCAGGCCAGGTGACCCAGCTCAAACAACATCGAAAGCTGGTATTCATCAAAAAAAAGAAGGTTTTGTTATCAGTTTGGTGGAATTATAAAGGAACTGCCTACCTTGAACTCTTACCACCCAACCGAACGATCAATTCTGTTGTCTACATTGAACAACTAACGAAATTAAACAATGCAGTTGAAGAAAAGCGGCCCGAATTGATAAATCGAAAAGGTGTTGTATTCCATCATGACAATGCAAGGCCACACATATCTTTGGTCACTCGGCAAAAATTAATGGAGCTTGGTTGGGATGTTTTGCCACATCCACCATATAGTCCTGACCTTGCACCATCGGATTACTTTTTGTTTCGATCTTTACAAAACTCCTTGAATGGTAAAAATTTCAGTAATGATGTTGATAATGTCAAACCGTACCTGATTCAGTTTTTTGTTCATAAAAACCAGAAGTTTTATGAATGTGGGATTATGATGCTGCCTGAAAGATGGCAAAAGGTCATTGATCAAAATGGACAATACATTACAGAAAAAATTGTCTTTGATTTAAAAAAAAAAAATCCGCAATTACTTAGTTGTCAACCCAATATATTCATTGTGCCAAATTTGAGTTCTGTATCTTAATGTACGACTTAGTTATAGCACTTTATACGCTTTCGATTAATACCATTTTGTGGGCATGGCAGTGGTCCGATTACGACCATCTACGATCTCGTCCTTAGGTTTTTGTCAAGGAACATGTGTACCAAGTGTCATCATATATATTAATTTTTACTCAAGTTACAGATTGCACAGACAGACGGACGGACAGATAGACAGTCACCCGGATATCAACTGTTCTCTTCATCCTGATCATTTTTATATATGAAACCCTATATCTAACTCGATTAGTTTTGGGTTATGCAAACAACCGTTAGGTGAAAAAACTATTATACTCTGTAGCAACATGTTTGCAAGAGTATAAAAATCCATTATTTTTCCAATAGATGGTTTTGGTAATCTGTATCTCGCGTTGTACAAGCGGGATTGGCTTGCAATATAGCGTGAGAAAGATAAGGTTTCATACTACATATGTCCTTATACAGTTTTGTCATTGCTTGGCTCAGTATTGCTTGAGCATGTGTCAAAAATGGAGACCAGACACCAAAGAAAAAATATGCCACAATTTACAGTTTTTCTATGACAAAGTCGAAAACGCAAGCCGAGCGGCTGAAAATGTTTATGATCCTGATAATGTGGCATGCGGATTCTTGGTTTGGTCGATTCCGTTCCGCTAATTTTGATGTCAAAAGTATTATATACAACGATAAAATATTGGAAGTCGTAGTGTCAACCCTCAAGCACTGTTTCGATTACCTAGGAGTTTAATATAATATTGCACAAAAAACCGTTTGGAACCATTCAAACAAGGCTGAAAACAAAATGAAGTCATCCATAAATCGATGACCCACGAGCTAATGCAAAAAAAAACCTCATGAACCGAATTTCCATCTGCGAATCGCTGGTGAATTTTAAAAAAATCGATCCTTTTTGAAGTGGATGTTTACTGCCAATTAAAAGGTCACTTAAGACAATATCATGCGAAAATTTTTTTGTGGTCGTGGTCGAATGCCATGTATTTATGGTAAGGAAGTGCTTGCTCGTCTGAAGGAAAAAATCATTCAAAAGCTATCAGCGTTGGCCAATAGCAGAAGAATTGTAGTCCATCAGTTCCGCCAGGAGCTCCATAAATTAGGTTGCATTCTTAAGAAACCACTACCTCTTCTTGCATGTAGGTAATGATTTTGCTGGAAAAAAATTCGCCACAAGAAAAATTGTGAAAATCGTTTGTCTTAATAGAGACAAGAATTTCTTTGAGAGTAGAAATATGAAATTTTGAATGCGACCTATTGTACAATATATTAGGTTAAGTAAAAAGTTCGTTCGGTTTTTATTTAAGAGATGGCGTTATTGTCCATAGTACTAGTGTTACGTGTCGCATCATGTCATACTATACGTCGCTGAAAACGTGTTTATTCGCGCTAAAAGTTTGTTTTTGACAGTTTTTCCGTTTGCGCTCGATGTTGTCATAAGTGACCCATTTTTCATCGCCAGTCACAATCCGCTTCAGAAACGGGTCGATTTTGTTGCGATTCTGCAGCGATTTGCAGATGGAAATTCGGTCTATCATGTTTTTTGCGTTAGTTCGTGTGACACCCAAACATCGAGCTCCTTTTTAAATCCAAGGTTATGCAAATGGTTCCAAACGGTTTTCTGGCTTATCTTTAGTTCCTCAGCAATTAAATAAGTGCTCACGTGACGGTCTGTTTCCACTATTTTCATGATTTTATCGCAATTTTCGACGACAGGCCTCCCGACGCGTGGTGCATCTTTGACATCGAAATTACCGGAACGGAACCTAGCAAACCACTTTTGTACTACACGTTCGTTTACAGTATCGGGCCCATAAACTAATTTAATTTTTTCAGTCGCTTTGGCTGCTTTTTCGCCTTGATCGAAGAAAAATTGTAAAATATAGCGAATTTTCTCTTTGCTGGTGTCCATCTTTGACGAGCGCTCACAACGTACTGAGTCAATCAATCGAAAAACTGTCAAAGACAAACTTTTGGCGCGAATGAACAAGTTTTTAGCGCCGTATAGTCTGACATGATGCGACACGTAACACTAATACTATGGACAATAACGCCATCTCTTAGATAAAAACCGAACGAACTTTTTACTTTACCTAATATAATACAATACAATATTTAATGATGTAAAATCTGTGGTTATTTTTGATTTGGGAATGAAATTACATTGACTTTAAAATAAAGCTTTGACCACAATGAGCGCTTATTGCCAAACTGCTTAAATTTTTTTGCGTAAAGAAGGAAAGAAAACATTAGAAATAATCAAAATTATATTAAAGAATTTTGAACTCTAAAGTAAATTGCATTCGTCAATTATATTCAAATGCGTTCATTGTCATATCAGATTATTATGTACACAAACAATGCTAAAAACATCATATGTAAATTAGTAACAACAAACATGCTGATAAATTTGCATATTCTTAGACACACGCACATACATATGTATACTAGAATGTATGTAAGTATATTGGGGTGGCTTCTTGTGTAAGTCACATATTAGTTGAAATGTGAAAATTGATTTGCGGAATTCATTTGCAAATAAAATAAAATAATTGTGTTTGATCAATAAATCTTATGCCCGTACAACAACAACTTAATAAAGCGGCTAGCGCAATTCAGTACAGTTATACATTCCCCATAACTAGAAGAGCAAATTAAAGGGTTGTGAAGTGAGGTTAGGGTTGCTTAACTAAGTTGAAAATTGTATTAATACAACAGGGTGTCTATTAAAAACTCCTCAAATAAAATATATTCCAGTTAAAAGTTAAAAAATGCAAATAATATGTATGTATGTGTTTGAGTCAATACAAATATTATGTATATAAGTACATACATACATATATCTATATTTGGAAATGTACTATACATTTTATATAGTCACAGTTAAAATGTGTGTTCGAATATATAACATATTTTTGTGAT